TCTGTCAATGGCACATAGTAATGTGTTATCCTGGAGCAGTTGGCCCTTACCCTAGGGGTGAGTATTTCCTAATACTCACCCCTGCATGTCTGACACCACCAACCACTAGTGAAAACAGTCAGAAAAAATGAGAAGGACAAAAATGTCAGAGTCCTCCACCATGTAAAACCATTCCTGTCTTGGTGGTTGTCTTATTGTTGGCCTTCAATGCCCCTGTTGTTATTGTCATTAACAGCAAAGCAGCTGAAACCGATTAACAACCCCCTCTGATACTTAACTCACCACATCTATATCCCAGAAAGTTTAACTGCCTTAACGCTATATTCTGATTAAAAAGTGTTCCTTTTTAATTTTTTAGCCATTGTATAACGCTGGAAGTAAGTTTAATATATATTAAGCATGAGATTTGTAAGACAGCGCAATCACCGTCATACTCGTCTTCCTCTCTCTAAGGTGAACTGTCAGGCTCCGTTCGAATTGTCAACGTGTCCTCTCAGACCTCCGGCCTGTACCGATGCTCCGCCACTAACACCCTGGGAACAGAGAACTGCTACATCAACTTATCCATCTACAGCAGTAAGATCCTCTTTGTGCACCCATAACCCTCTGCCAGTTTTTATGCCCTGTGATAAAACGTTCTTGTATTTCTACCCAGCCCCAGACAGTCCCTCTGGTGTACTGCAGGGTGTGCTGCTGACCTTGTCTATGTGCCTGCTGTTGCTGGCTTTGCTGGTGCTCGTTCTGTGGCTCCATCACACAGGGCAGGATGGGAGGTTGAGGAAGGGGAGAGGAGACAAGGATGAGTTTTATAACGAGATACGGTACACGCCGTCCCTGATGAAACGCTCTTTTGTTTGATTTCTCAAAGACTTTCGGGACTTTTTAATGTATCCATGTAAAAGATGTCTGCAGCCCAGACCAGTGTTCCCTGAATGTTACTCCACAGCTGTAAAGCATCAGAAACTGTGAAATAAAAGTGGAATAAATGTTCTGAAAGGTGTGATAGCAATGCGTCTCATTTATGCTCATTTCCTCCAAACCAGCTTTTAAAGGTAACCATCAACGATCCCCTCAGCTTTAACCAAAGACAAAAAACTGCACTCAAAGTCAAGTCACCATCTTTCATGTAAGTTTTCCTTGTTTTTGGTCATAATTCTGAGCTAAGCTCTTACCTGGCTTCTGCTTCATGGACCTCGCGAACAAGAGTGGAATCATCTAACTTCTCAATAAAACAAATACCTACATTTCCCTGAAAGCGTCAGGCGAGAGTATTTATGCACATTATCAGAGTCGATAAATTTAGGTTGCCAGTGGGAAATGTCATTGGGTTTTCAATCCGATTCTTCCTTGTAAATCTCTTGAGAAAACCAAGCATTTCCCTTGGACGTGAGGTTGAACTGTTCAGTGTAAGAGGACAGTGACACTGCAATGCTTTTAGAGCATTTTTTGAATGAATAACTCAGGATTCGAAATGGGTGGTTGTGACTAACATTTAGTTCCTGCCAAATTTCTTCAGTTAAACGTGTGAGAAACTACAAACTGGTGACTCCACTGCCCCCCACCCGTGTCTTCATACTGTGAGAATATGGAGCAAGCTTATTATTATGTAAGGTCGCTAAGCTGTGAGCAAGCCCACCAATAGTAGCAGCGTTTACACACCTTAAAAGAGGAACAGCAGAGCTGTCAATCACAGTTTGGATACGCCCACAGCACAAGGCAGAGGCCTTAAAAAGTTTGGACAACTGACAGCAGACACATTAAAAAAATATATATATTTACCCCAGTTTTGCCTCTTCTTTGGCTTTTGAATATTTTCAGCAGCCACACACTGGCCACTTTATTAGGTATGCCTCACTAGTATTGGGTTGGGATCCTTTTACCTTCAGTGCTGCCTCAAATCAGAAGGTGCTGGAAACATTCCTCAGAGATTTTGGTCGATGGTGACATTACATCAGCACATAATTCCAGCAGATTTGTTGGCTGCATATCCATGATATGAATCTGCTGTTTCACCACATGCCAAAGGTGCTCCACTGGATTGAGATCTGGTGACTGTGGCAGCTGTTTGAGTACAGTGCCATAGTGCTGGAAGCACTGTGGTCAAAAAGGAATGAGCATGCTCCGCAGCAATGCTTAATTGGTACCAAGTGTGCAAGAAAATATCCCTCACACCCCTCCGCTGAACATGATGCTATCATGTTGTTTACACCAAATCCATTTTCCTTTGACCTCAACAAGGCAGCTTTGCCCAGAAATCTGCTGCTTACTGGATAGTTTTTTTTTTTTGGACCGTAGAGATGGCCATGCAGTAACTCAGTAACAGCTTGTCTGACACCACCAACCACGGCAGGTTCAAAGTCACTTAAATCACCTTTCTTTCTCTTTTTGACGCTCGGTTTGAATTTTCGGAGGTCGTCTTGACCATGTCTCCATGCCTGAATTGCTACCACGCGGTTGGCCAATTAGACATTTGTGTTAACGAGAAGTTAAACAGATTACCCGATGAAGTGGACAGGTGAGCGTACAGTTTAATTAAACCCGAGTGCCCGCTCAGTGGTGCTGTTTTTACTGTAGCATAAGGCTTTAAGCTGCTAGGACAAAGACTGAAAATCCTCCAGACAAAAACAACAGCAAAAAACAGACCAACAGGACAAATGCCAGAAAATAAAATCACACAGCAGTTAATTTGCAAACAAAGACAAAAACCTTTAATTTAAATAGGAGGGGGAAAAAAAAAAAATCACATAAAAAAAAACTGTACAGAACATTTAACATCGACTTAAAGTTCTTAAATAAAAGACCCCGCCCCTCCAAAAGTAACTAAAAATAACAAAACTATAACAAAGTGGGATGGTGTATGATACATTTTTGTGCAAAAGAAGTATGAACCAATTCTTCCCAAACTGCACATCTTGATGTGGAGAGGGCGCCTCTCTCCACTCAGGTGTCTTTCTACAGGTAAACACGAGAGTCCCTCCCCTAAACATCAGCATAGTGTCTTTGATGTAAAAGGCCCCCCCCCCCCCAAAAAAAAAAAAATCCAATAATAAAATATATTTATATTTTAAATATATTTATATACCAAACATGCTGTACAGAACGTCAGAGATTAAGAAATCCCTTTTTTTGGACACTTACATCTGTCTGTCAACTTGTGCTTCCCCGACTCCAACTAAAAGGAAAAAAAAAAGCAAAACTGAACAAAAGTCGAGCTCCCTGTCGTTTAGAAATAAAATAAATGAGAAAAGAAAAAACAGAAAACAGCACTGATCAGAAAAGTCTCTGTTTTTCCTGAGTTGTGGGAGTTTCTAATGCAGTTTGAGATGGAAGCTGACACACTTTTACCTGTTTTTTCACAGCCACTCGAAAAAAAGGAGAAAAACCCCAAAAACTAAGATTAAAAGAAGGGGGGGGGGGGGGGAGAGAGAGGCTGCTGAGCTTCATCTTGTAAAAAGCTGTGCAGAAAAAAAATTGTCTTTAACAGCATGCAGAACATCTCTTAAAAAGAGGGACTAAAAGGGAGCATCTATTGTAAGTCTTCCTGCAGAAGCAGTCAGTTCCTTTCCCAGTATACACCCTGAGAACACTGGCCTCCATCCAACTTTCCAGCAGGGAAGGGGAAAAAAAAAAACAAAAACAAAAAAAACCCAAAACCCAAACAAATCATTTATGAGGAAAAAACAGCATATGGCGATTCATGCTATGGCACGAGGTCGTTTAAGAATTCTTCACCCAGTGCGAAGAGCCGGAAACCGTCGGGGACAAAGCCAGTGGACCTGGGGAAGCTTCTGGGGCTAAAATTTTTGACAGAACTGCAAGTTTTTCTTTTCTTTTTTGTTTTATGAAACTCTCCCATTTTTCTGCTTTTCACAGTGGTAAAAAAAAAAAAAATAAAGGCGTGGGAAAAGAAGCAAACTTAAAGCGATTTCAGGAACACTTCCAGTTATGTTCCACACTTAAAAATAACCAAAAAGAGCCGTCGGTGAGATGGTGCAAACGTGACGACACCAAACAAACTGAGGGGAGGGGGTGGGAGGGTAGACAGAAGGCAGATTTCCAACTCAATATATCAACACACCATATAGACAAACCCCGTTAAAGACATCTGTAAGACATTATTAATCAAATAAATATTCCACCTTTGCTTTCAGTATTTATTCAGCTTTTGTTTATTTCCAACTAAAACGCTGGATTTAACTGTTTTAGAAACAGCAGTAGTAGTGGGTATTATAGTAGTAGTAGCAGGAGATGCAGAAGCAGTAGTATAGTAACAGAAAGGCCCAGACTGCAGGCAAAGAGCACACTGGGGATACGCTGATGTATCAGCCAATCACATGGTCGGTTAACCAGTGGCAGTGGCTAATGGTTGTCGGTAGTGTCACATCAACAGCATGATGGAGGAGGAGGAGGACTTAAAATAGTTACATAATGAAGACGTCTTTAGTTTCCCTGGTGCAAAAGGAGGATAAGTAACTTAAAAAAACAAAAGAAAAACAAGCAGCTAAAAATATATATGGGTATCAGACAAACTGTTATTTTAGACATCAGTGCATCCCTAGCAAACACAGCTCTCCTCACAAAGCAGCCTGGACCCCAGCTATTCAGAAAGCCATGAGCTGATTGGATCTGATCAGGGAGGACATTAGTGATCAGTAATCCAGAGAAAACAAACTCAGTGCACATTCGACACCGAGGGATTCGTGAAGATTCAAGTAAAAAACAAAAAATAGAAGACATTCCACTCACCAAAGCAAAAAAAAAAGAGGATTAAAAAAAAAGTTCCTTACACTCCCAGTTTGTGAATTTGTGATCAACACAATTTTTCACAGATTTGACTCGTCCTCTGTTTGATCCTGATTAATGGAAACCAGCTCTGTCTGAAGTTCTCCAGGATGCTAGTCAGATACAGGACTCCATGATGTCCAAGCCTACATACGCTGTAAACTAGCAGTAAAAGCACCACATGTCAGCTGGGCTGGA